CTAGGTTGGAGGCCATTATATACTACTAGGAACAAGAAGCTACTAGGAACAAAGGGAATCGCTACTAGGAGCAAGGACGCTATATACTAGTTCCATTCTTCTTTGGGTTGGCCCCCACGAGCGTGATTCCGGACCTGCTGCTTCCTTCCTCACTTCAGCGTGAAGCAAAACAAAGGAAGTACATGCTGCAAAAAAAGGCTATAACGACCCTTTGCCAACATTTCTGCCAAATTTGGTCCATGAACCTGCGGACGGGAGCAAAAATGAATCGCAAAGAACGACAAGACAGGGGGAAGATGAGCAGATCGAGCCAGAAACTGCTAGGGAAGTTGAAAACATTGTTTTTTAACCACTGGTTTGGTTTGTCTCAAAATAGGGCGACGGGGCAACCACTTCAACTCCCCTAGCTCCAACCACCTCTGTGATGGTGTTCAGCCGATGGGCGGCCCGTCCAACATGGAGTACAACATCAACAAATTGCAACTGCCTGTTCAGCCCATTTCCGCTGCACCGCATTCAATTGAGCGTAACGCAGCGTGAAGCGTTTGATCAGCTCTAGGATTTGCAGAAGTGCTAGGCGTTCCATCTGGATCAGCAACAAGCTATACTGCTTGATCAGTGTGTGATAATGGTGGCAAGTCAGTAGCCATTGTCCACAGCGAAAAGCGCTCCATGCCACAGTTGTTATTAGGAGCCAGTGAACAATTCCCTTCATCTGCAAGCGAAGGTAGCCGTTGTACTTCATGGAGATTCCATCGACCAGTCCCCAGGCTATCGATGAAAAGAACAAACCAAGCACTAAATACAAAAGATAGAACTTGTTTTCCTGTTCGAAAAACTCTTCGAAGGACTCTTCAAGTGATTCGGTAGACTTCGTCCAAAGCATGACGCAGAACTCCCCGAGCACTGCAGCGGGTGCGAAACTGCATAAAAACTGCCTTGACAGCATGTCGAAAAATCGGCCACAGCATTCCTGCTTTTGCTGCAGGGAAGCCAACCGCAGTACAATAGACACTGAGGAAGCGAGCAAGCATGTGTTGATAATATTGTATATCACTGAAATTGCGAACACCCACCTGCTCCGCGACAAGCAAGCGTTCCAGAGCGGAATGGCAGATGTTGCTGTAAGCACATATGGTATGACAACCAGCAACATCTGTGCTCGATCTCGTTCACAATCTCGACAGGTCCGCCAGCCCAATATTGAAGTTGCAACTAGCCACGATAAATTTGAGAAAAGGGTCAAGCGACATCGGTTCAGCGCCAACCCTAAGATCTCACATTCATAGTGCTGTTGCTCCCAATATCTTCCAGTCAAACACATGAGGAGAAGGTCGCAGTCAGTGCAAAAGCACGAACTTTGGGGGCATCCTGGGCCGTGGCTGAAATTCACAGTGCATTTCATGTCAATGCTTCGCAAGAGAGCCCAGAACATGAAGATCACAAATATTGCAACGAGCCCTCCGGTGGCGCGCATCAACCACTTCAAGAACATCAAAGGGCTACGCGGCATACATTCATCATCTTCTACATTTGGGTCTGGCAAAAAAACCTCTGAAAAGTCACCACGGGAACTTCTCCAAGGCCGCTGCTTTCCATGGCTCAACTCTTCAATTCGAGTCTGCGCCTCTTTGGATGCAGTTTCCAGGTCCTGCGACAGGGTTCAACTGTTCGCAATGAGGAACCCCAAGCCTCCAGTCAATGTGTCATACATACATATTGGTTTTACGAACAGCCGTGCCCAATGCAAGGAATTCTCGCTACAGGTTGTTAACAACCTTACAGTCCACATATCCAGCTCTTTGGGGTGCATAAATCTTACAAAGCTTACCACCCCAGGCCACAAACGGCTAGTAGACTCGACGCACCGAATGTTGTGGAGTCCAGTCCACCTGGTGACGGTCCTTCGAAGGGTCATCATCCAGCGCGTCAATCAGAGCACCTGCCAAAGAATGATCATCACTGGCAAATCGGCCACGGTCACAGGCCAGGAGGATGTGAAAGTCCGTGTGCGAACGCCGATGCAATCGTTTCAGCTGTGATGTGTTGTTGCCCGTCCAGGTGACGATGTCGGGGTTCTCCCGACATGTGTCAATGATCAGCCACACCTTGAGCTTGCGGTCTTTGATGGAGTCTAAAGGTGTAAGAAGCAAAGGGTCCAAGTCAACCCCACACTCAGAAGAGTCTGATGTGAGGACAGCTGGAAGTTCGCTGGTGTGAGGTTGCCGACCATGGGCCGCGACGAAAACCACAGCCTGGTGACATGCAGTTTCGCTTGAGCTGACTTTGATCAGCTGAATGAACTGGCAGATGTTGCTTTCAAGCTCTCCTTTCGTCACCTTTCCCACCAGCATGTACAGCCTCTTCTCTGACAGTTTCCTGCTGCGCAAGAATTCCGCAAAGCGTTCAGCATCGCGTCGAGCGCCAGGAAGCTTGGAGCGATCCTGGTACTCTTCGATTCCAACACATAGCGCCGCCAGGATCGGACAGGACGTCATTGGTGGAGCTGCGTAAGGACTCTCGCAGAAGTTGGAGACTGTATATATATATATATACTATTGTATACTGATGATGATGATGATGATGATGATGATGATGATGATGATCTCCCACATCGTTGGTTCACAGTTCGGATGTTTCCTTGTATGATGCCCAACAACATGAAAGGGTGGTTTGGTTGGATATATTGGGCCAATATCTCACAGGTAAGATGTTTGGAAGCAAAACAACTCCCTCCAAAGTTCTGTTGGACAAGGCGGTTTTCGCCTCGGAAAGGTCTAGAGCAGCTGCAGCATGGAATAGTCACAAATGCTCCACAAATTCATGCACTTGACTTCTGCGTGTGGCCCCTGCCTGGGTGCCGTCCTTCAGGGTTTCTGAGGCCCTCTCCGATCCCAAGGCCCCCCCACCTGCATCCATCGGAAGATGCTCAGCGCTTTCGACCACGTCGCCACAGCCACCAGGAACGCGTTCACCGTGTTCGCCCGCGGGGAATGGCACACAAGGCTCAACGCCGAGGTCCAGCGGCGGCCTGGTCTTGGCGTTCAGCATTCGCGCGGTCAAGTTGGGTGGGAAGGGACGTGAAGGGAGGACGTGAAGGAGCTTGGTATCTTGATGCATTCAAGAATCTGCATCCCGGTTGTGACAATGTCCCGCTTGGTCTCTTGCGACGACTCCAGTGCCATCATGGACGACTGTGATCGAAAACGAAAACCTCTCAAAAGCGAGTCGTGATCTGCCCATCCGCCCATCGCATCCAAGAGTCCCTTCTCATGAGCACTTGCTACCGCCAAATAGCTCAAATCATTGGGCCTCGGTCAATGACTTCTGATAGGTGAGGGATGGTGATGGCCTCCTTTAGCAGGTCAGGGGGTAGCAAGTTTGGTCCTTTTATGCAGGCCAGTGACATGTTTAGCTATTTGACTTGCACTCTTCATAAACTTGGACCTTTGAAACAACCACGCTTTGGCCATTCTGACTGGTCGGTCCAGTAAGAATTGGACGTGCTCCCAGCAGAGCAGCCAAGAGCTCTTGAGAAGTCAATCGGATCACCTCAGAACCTAACACATCTGCAATGAAGTGGACTGCCAACCCTGTACGGCCAATGGCGAGCCAAGTCCAGAACAAGAATAACATCCAGCTGATGTGAGATATCAAGCTGCTCACAACATTCTGGGAAGAAACTCCTCCCTCCCCCACCTTTGTACCCATCTGGAGATATTCAATATTCTTTCTAACTTCAACATCTTCAACTCTGGGGACCAACCTGAAAAGGTTTTGAAGGGAACTGAGGCTGCCACCGTCCTCGGCCGCTGCGTTCCGAAGAGCGCGCGTTCGGTCGAAGTCGCTGGAGGGTCATTTGGAGGAACTCGCAGTAGAGGCTCAGTGCCATCTGCCATTGTTCTGCGCCGGCGCATGCGCTCATGACCTGACAGAACGGCAGTGAACAATGAACAAGCGTATTCATCGATTTTGCCAAGGGTGATAAGCAAATGCACTGGCTCGCTACGCGCACATGATCTCTAGCTCCCAAAACAAATGAGTCCTGCTTGCTGCCGGGTGGCCGTGTTGTAGGAGGCGATGCTCGTCTGCAGCTGGAGCTCTCCGGCCTTGGCCAGGATGTCAACTGCCTGCCGCCAAGCGCTGGCCTTGCTGCAGGAGTTCATGGCCGCATTGCACCTGAAAAAAAAAGAATAACGGGAGGGGCGCCTCGCTGATCCCCTCGCTGATCCTTTGGGGTTCAACCCCTACAACAGAGGTTTGTGAACATACCTATGATTACCTATTATGACCTATATGTAGGTCATTGTCTGGGCCAAACATGGAGTCATCTATCCTGCACTCCTGCGCAAAGTACTGGGTCGCCAAGGATCGAAAAAGGGGGAGTCACAAGTAGCGCAGGAGAGATGAAACAGCATTCAAAACCAACATCCTTAGTTTTGTGTGTTTTTTGGGGGGGCGTGTTTGGGTCTTAGCATGGGTCTTGTTCATGAGATCTTCAAAACCCTGTTCGTTCAGGATTTAAAAAAAAGCCCTAATCAGGGGACCCCAAGGTCCAAGCCGCTTCTTTAAAAGGTCTGGTCGAACAATTCAATCCTTTTCAAACACCTTGAGAGGGGTCCGGCTCAATGAATTGCAAGCTTCACCTGTAGAAACAGAGCTTTCAACCCTGTGGACCATACCAAGCAGGGTCTTTAAGCAGAGTATCGCAGATCCGTACCCAACGAGGCCCACGTGCCGTACCGTTCTTCCGTGGTCGGTCCGTTCAGGCCGGTTCGGTCGGATCCCACGGGTCGACGACAGTGCAAACAACAAGACAACATGGTTTTTGTTCCCCTATATATACTGTGTGTGTGTCTATATATATATATATATTGGGTCTACCCTAATACCTATATCCGCCGGGGAGCGCGCCACAGTATATATATATATATATGTTCTTTTTTGGTCTATCCTAATACCTGGGCCTGTAACAGTGGATGATGGTGAGGTTGCAGGCCGACAGTTCAGAAAGAGTGGTAATTGTTGACTGACTGTTACAGAGTTACAAGTAATAGGACAGACCCAACCTATATATATATATATACATTAGTTAGGTGGTCATCTAACTTGAGAACCCTCCTGGTCTTGGCACAGGCCACAGCAAATATCTCACAATTTCTCCATCAAGCCACATCACCATGTCCATCTTCACATCATCCTCCAAGAGCTGAACGGCCATCGTCCAGTGATCATGGCAGGCGCTTGCCACAGCACTTTTCATGAAGTGATTGGAAGAGAGCCCTTCTTCCTGGCCCAAAGCCTCCAGTTGCAAAGCCACCTCACAGCACTGAGAATAGATTCACTATGGTCACTAGATCTTACGAAGTGACTCGGCCGCGGACGCCTTGGCCGCCATGGCCGCTACTCAACACCCACCGAGTCGCTGTCCATTTGGGCGCGTGTTCCACGGAGGCGCGGTAGGTGAAGGTATCGGCCTGGAGCTCCTGGAGACCGGCGGCGGAGTTGGCGGTCAAGGGAGCCTGTTCGTTTCACATCACCAACAAGATGGAACCCACGAACCCGAATGCAAACACGATCGAAAAACTAATATGTCCAAATGACACTCTTGTAGGACACTCTTGCGGGACACTCTGTAGGACACTCTTGTAGCACACTCTTGTGGGTCACTCTTGTAGGA